AAAGCTGAGAGAGACGAGAGGGGAGAGACGGAGGAAGCTGAGGAGGAAGACCTGAAACGCAAAGCTGAGAGAGACGAGAGGGGAGAGACGGAGGAGGCTGAGGAGGAAGACCTGGAACGCAAAGCTGAGGGAGAGGAGAGAGACGGAGGAGGCCAAGGAGGAAGACCTGGAACACAAAGCTGAGAGAGAGAGAGGAAAGAGACGGAGGAGGCTGAGGAGGAAGACCTGGAACACAAAGCTGAGAGACAGAGAGGAGAGAGATGGAGGAGGCTGAGGAGGAAGACCTGGAACACAAAGCTGAGCGAGACGAGAGGGGAGAGACGGAGGAGGCTGAGGAGGAAGACCGGGAACGCAAAGCTGAGACAGAGAGAGGGGGCACCTGCCGTGAAGATTACGCTAACCCTGGTAGTAATACTTGACTAGATAAAAGTAAAACGAGCAACGGAATCTGTTTGGGAATGAAATAGACAAGCTAGTAGCAGTAAGAATAAAGAAGACATGATAAATCCAACAGAAAGAATCACTGATTAAGACCCATGAACAACAGGAAGAATTTAAAGATGACTTCAAAGTTTAGACCCGAGGACAAATCAATGTCAAAAAGACAAACAATCCACTTTTGAAAGAAAATGGGCAAAAGTCCAGTACACTTCACAAAACAATGTGTGTAACGGCCAACATCCCGTGAAAAGATGCTGAGGGAATTAAACATTAAAACCGTAATTAAATTCCATCTCACACCAACTCGAGTGAAAACCAGAGAGGCGGCCTTCACTGCCAGCAGTGCTGCAGGACCTCTGGATGCTCGTCTGCTCTAGGGGGACCGTAAAGTGATGCAGCCCCTGTGGAGACCCGATGAACTAAACTCTGTGTCTGGGCAACATCATGCCAAGGTTTGCCCAAAGAAAACGTGCCCATGAAAAGACTCGTCCCAGTATGCTCACAGCAGCCTTAGTCGTAACAGGGAGGACAGTGGAAAAACAGGCAAGTGTCTCATAACTGCTGCCAGAACGCTCATCAGGAGTTTGGTCATGCTCTCTCCCCGACAGTACAAGAACATAGGGCATTCAGGCATGTCCCAAAGGATGGGGTCCCAGCTACACAGCTGCTGCTCGGACCTGGCATGGCCGGGGCACCTCCTCTGCATAGCTGCGGAGGACTCCCCTCTGCAGGCAGCACCCATGCCCATGTGTCCTCCTGCTCGCTAGTTTTCAACATCACTGCAAACACCACTGCAAAAAATACTCCTAAATCCCAAAGGCAAAAAGGCTGGCTCTCTAGAGGATTCCACTTTTATTCCCACCCGCCGTGTTCGAGTACCTGCACTGTTGCTACATACTGTATAGAAGTCTCCCAGCTGTGCTCACGTGCTGTAACTTTTAGTGAGAGGGGCGCTTCTTGGTACGTTCTTCTCGCCGGACTTCTCCCGCACTTTTAATGTCAAAGTCTATAAGGCCCTTGCCAGTTTTCCTCACGGGTGGCTGTTTGCCTCTTACTGATCTCTCTCCACCATCCGTGGGTGAATGACCAATTGTCCTAATGCAATTTACTGTATAATTTACTTTCTCCAATAATTCGAAACGCTATCTTTATCATATAATAAATTCTCGCTTCTACAGGCGTCTTTACGGACTTGCTATTTCATGGATCCATGCTGATTCAGTTTTAGATTACAGGCAAAACGGTGAAAAAGGTACAAAGTTCCCATATACCATCCCACACCCGGTTTCCCCTATTTTAACATCTTTTATTAGAACAGTCTATTTGTCACAACTAATGAACCAATGTTGATACATCAGCATTAACTGAAGTCCACGCAGGGTGTTTACATAAATTATTTGGAATTTTGCATGGGAGAGTTGTCTTTTCTCCCACTTATTTATTCAGTCATTTATTTATATCAGTATGGACTCATGGATATTTACTTGATACTCTGGGTTACAACCTGGAGCCCTGGTGACACAGTAGTTAAGAGCTTGGCTGCTAACCGGCCTTTCCCCCTTCTCCGGCCACGTGGATTGTTCAGTCCCCGCACCCCCATCATCAACAGTGCCATCAGGGACATTCTCCAATGTGTCTACTGGAAAAATTCTTAAACACGAAATTCTTGATCATATCTTGTTTTGTTCCAAGTACAGATTTAGGAACACAGTTGCTGGGTCGTAGGGTATAAATTATTCAGAGCCCTGGTGGCACAGTGGTTAAAATGCTCAGCTGCTAACTGAAAGGTCGGTGGTTGGAACCCACTAGTCACTCTGTGGGGAAGACTACAGTATCAAAGACACTACGGTGCAGTTCCACTCTGTCCTAGTGGGTCACTGAGTTGGAACGGACTCGATGGTAATGGGTATTGTCTTAGTCATCTAGTGCTGCTACAACAGAAATACCACAAGTGGATGGTTTTAATGAAGAGAAGTTTACTTCCTTATAGTCAAAGTAGGCTAAAAGTCCAAATTCAGGGCGTCAGCCCCAGGGGAAGGCTTTTTCTCTCTGTCAGCCTTCTTCTCTTCAGTGTTCCCCCGGACTAGGAGCGTCTCTGCGCAGGGACCCTGGTCCAAAGGACGCGCTCTGCTCCCAGCACTGCTTTCTTGACGGTATGAGGTCCCCCTGTCTCACTGCTCACTTCTGTCTTTTATATCTCAAGAGATTGCCTCAGGACACAATCCAGTCTTGTAGATCCAGTCCTGCCCTACTAACACAACTGCCACCCATCCTCTCTCATTAACATCATAGAGACAGGTTGACAACATACAGGAAAATCACACAGTATCAGGAATCATGGCCTAGCCAAATTGATACACACCATTTTTTGGGGGACATAATTCAAACCATGACAGGTATGATTTTGGTTTTTCATACAAGATAATGCCAAGTTGTTTTCCAAAACAGATAAACCAATTTACACTCCTATCAGCAGTAAGTTCCTGCAGACCCACACTGTCTCCAATACTTAGTATTATCAGAACTCTTATCAATCTAGTGAATGTAAAAGGAGCCCTGGGGGTGC